CTCTGCATTTTTCTGGAAGGACTGGTTGAGGGTCTAAGTATAGAGGGTGTCTGAAATGTGTAATTTGTGATATTGGGCTATATAAGTAAAATAAAACACATTTACATTTATAGAATCTTAAAAAGATGTAAATATAACATATAACATGACATGATGATTTCATTGTCTATGCTGAAACATGCTGATGTCAAGTGAAAATACAGTGTTGCTTAATGGTATGTACATCACGGTTCAGATGGAATTAATTCCCTGTGAAGAGGAAACCCATAGTGGCTGTGCTGCCAACCACAGGTTAACTGTAAGATCTGAAGCTCTCCTATATAAGTTTTCAGCTATGATCTGACTGTAACAGATCATTCAACAGTCAATGATCCAGTGTAAGCTAACATAGAGCAGGGAGTTGATGCTGACAGGCAGAAATAGAAGGTTATTGCATCTTTAGTTCAGTCTGCATGCTTAGAATGCCTGCTGGCTTTAATACAGCAGCACTGTAAAGAATAGACCTGGGTCCTGGTCTCAATGGATTATAGGCAGGTGCAGAGCTACTGAAGCTATTTCAAAGGGTTTCTCACTTTATCAGGTATGATTGATTGTCTTGACCTATAATAGGCTTTGCATACCTATTGCCAAATATGAATACTTGAACCTCAATGGACTCTTTAACTAAGGTGTGATTGAATCTGTGCCTTTGTGATAACATGTAAGATTCTCAAATTGTATTCATTTTTTTTGTGCACACCCAGAAATGGCTTTTGCAAGATAGACCAAAGCAGGATAGATACAGTACTCACCACTGTGGGTGCAGTATAAAGCACTTCTCCCAGACTGTGGTAAAGGTAAGGATAAGGTTACCACAGCTTGAACCATAAAATTCTCTCTGAGCAGCAAATATTCTACCTCCTGCTTCAGCTTCTAATGTAATGTTGTCATGTCTTTCGTCTGATTGCTAATATTGTTGGATTTAAACAGCCATATTTGCCAATATTAGATTCTGACTGACTGATGGACTACCTTAAAGTATGTAAAATGATAATGTTACTCTTGGCAGGCTGAAAAAGCCAGACCAGGATGATACTACATTTAATTATCAGTGTAAGAAAATAATGATATACTTGAGTATCGCAATATATATTTTTTTTAGTATATTGTATCAATTCTCAAAAACACTGTACAACATTTTTCTACTCACGTTTTATGTATATGGTCGTGTGTTTTTTTTAATTACAGTATATCGCCTTGCTTACAGTATCGCAATATATCGCACTGTATTGACTTGTAACCCCGGTATTGTGATACGTATTGCCAGATTCTTGCAAATACACAGCCCTACATGTAATTACATGCTCATTATGAAACCAAATCAAATAGTTACTGGAAAAACTTCATAATAAACAGCCAGTGTAGCATTGATCATTGTCCCCAGTCCACGTGTCATCAGACACAGTTCATCCATTAATCAACATGCTGTATGGTGATTAGCAGTGTGATTGGCTGCGGTAAACTGTGTCCTCACTAACTTGCCCTGCCTGCCAGCTGGACTCACCACAGGATCTGGATTACACAGATAACACTCACTATCACTTAACATGTGTGACTGTAAGCCCTGACTCTCAGTGACTCTTGTGTGTGTATGTGTGTATGTTTGTGTGTGTGTGTAGTCATCGACTCTTGGCTGAATTAATCAGCAAATTATGAGTTTGGAAATTGTTGGAAAGTGTTATGGAGGTGGCATAAGGCTGTTTATGCTGAATACAGCTGTTATTAAGATATATACATGTAAACAGTCCTATACTAGAATCAATGATGAGGATATGTTTTAGTGATTGTATTCATATCAAATGGATTGTAAGTCAGTTTAATTTAATGACAGCCTCATTGGAATTGCACTACAAAGGCTGGAACCTCAGAAGATATCCACTCGATTTGTCTAATTTGGATGTTGGAAGCCTTATATTTGCTTATGAAATGTACATTTTATTTTACATGGAGCAAGGTTTATGGATTTGTGTCCTCTATCACCTAGATTGAAAACTCATTAGTAAGGAATCTTGTAATGACATTTGTTTTAAGGGATAGTTCAAGTTTTTTAAAGTTGGGTTGTATGAGGTTCTTATGCATAGTCAGTGTATTACCTGCAGTATATACCTCCACCTCCAGTTTAAAGAAGCAGACAGGAGTACTGGTATGGAAGCTAAGCAATGCACATATTTTAGCCAGCTAAAAGAATTAATATCAGTTTTAGTGTGCACTATATTTAGAATATTTTCAATGCTTTACCTTGACATCATACAGCCCTTTCCAATGGAAAACTGAAGCTGTTATCCATCTATGGCTATGTTCACACTGCAAGCCTTAAAGGTCCAGTGTATAACATTTAGCAGGCTCTATTAGCAGAAATTGAATATAATATTGATAGGTATGTTTTCATTAGTGTATAATCACCTGAATATAGGAATCATTTTGTTTTTGTTTACCTTAGAATGAGCCTTTTTTTA